TAAATAGAAGATAGAAGAAGTAAAATTAACATAGTAATATTTATTAGAATATTTTTTTTTGTTAAGGAAATATCTTAAACATTTTATTGTGTTAATGAGGATGATAGGTATATTATATTTATTATATTATATTATATTATATTATATTATATTATATTATATTATTGTATGCCAATTATACCTCAATAAAGCTGTTAATATTTTATAGCATGCACATGATTGTTTATTAGTAAATTTAGTAATGGATATTTATAAATCTTTATACTATATACATCATGCAAAGAAAAATTACGAAAGAGTTTGAAAAGCATACCAGATAATAGAAAGATGTTAAGTGATGATGTTGACATTTTTAATTGCCCACTATATCTCTTGGAGAATTCATGAATCTTCTCAATGAAGCAATTTTTTATGACAAACAAGAAAGCAGACCCTGCCAGAAAGATTCTGCTTGGCATTCACAGCTGGGCTGTGGTGTTTACTTGTTTAACATTAACAGTTTCACAAATAAAGCTACTATATTATAATGGATCAAGGCAAACACATGATCAATATGCAATTATATCTGAATACAAACAAAACCTGCTACCCACTTGAGCCATAAAATTGACCTAAGATATCCTTGTGTTAGCTAATATGAGTAACTTTTTATAAGAGAAGTATTACTCCTGTTTCCTGAATATCTTTACTCCAGAGCAAAGCCCACTAGCTACCTGAAACCTTACACAAGCCCTAATCCTATAAGTCCTCCTAACACACCCTTACTGAGACACCCTACAGCTCCTACGCTTTCTGTGACATTGCAATGAGCCAATCAATACAAATGTGTTCAATTACAGGTGTGTTTCTGGCGGTCCTTAGTTAAAGTGCATTAGCAGTTGAAATTTAAATATTGCTTAGTTTTAAAGTACACATTGAACAAAAAGCATGTCTGCATTTATCATTAATGCTTACTTTTCAGTGACATTTTTTTTTTTTTTGGTACCATGACAGTACATGCAAACAGGAATATAACATTTTCTCAAAATTAGAAAACTTAACATCACACAAATAGGTAATTATTCTTGTTGTTGGTCCACCATAAATCAGGATTTTAAAAAAAACAACACATTTTGCAAAGAACTTTTTGTAACAGACACATTTTTTTTCCTGCTGCCCTATTGTTTCAAGTGTTAATTTCTGAACCATAAAATCAAATTATGCTTGTCAGGAGGCAGCTGCTCTTCTGTTGCCTGGATGTCATAGTGCTATTTAGATTTATCTTTAAATATAATTTTCAAGTTGCAAAGGAAACCCAGACCATTTTTCTTTTACAGCCAAAAGAAATTGCAATAGAGTCTATTGGTCTGAAGAGAATTTTATTTATACAAGAGATAAGCTCATATTTCTACCATAAGGAATCTAAAGAACAGAATTTGGCTGGCCTAACAAGTCTGAATTCGAAAAAGATCACATTGCTGTTACTATAATTTTTAGATATTTCTGTACTGGAATATAAAATATACAGCAATTATTTTCTTTGACAATATTAAAAAAATAAATATCCAGGTGAGAATAGGTATAGATTTCTCATTGAAGGCAAATTGTAAGCTGAAGAAACATGTTTCCATCGTTCATCAATTATTTTGTCAGCATCTATTAGCCTTGCACCAATCCTAATAAATTTTATAGAACCATAAAGTAGAAGGCCTCCAACTGAAAGCAAAAAGGTGGAGTGTCACTAGTCATGCCTCATTCTGACTTAAGATGCACAATGGAAAAAAGGGCAAATATTTTAAATTTAGTTTTGTTATAGTCAAAGTTGGATGCTGGGAACTTGTAACAGGAGATCTTTAAAATACATAAAATATTTGCAAATGAATTCAGGTAGAACATTGTGATTTAAGAAAAATAAATTGTTTTCTAAATGTGTGCATGAGATGAGTTCCCACATATAAAGTTGGGAGAACTTTATTAAAGCAGAAGTAAATTAGTATATTAGCCTACATTCAGAGAGAATACAATTTCAATAATCCAGTTATAGTAAAGTGGTTTGATTCTTAGCATATACAATTTTTTTTTCTGAGTTATTAATTAAAGAGAGAAAGACACAGGGCTTTTCAGACAATGAGAAATGACAAAGGGTAATTTCTTATACAGTACAAATGGTTTGATCATTAAAAACTTCCATTAGTGACCCATATAGTAACTCAGTTACTGACTGATTCTTACTGCACATCAATTAATATTTTCTTCTCCATAAATATTACCTCAATAATTTAACTCACATCTGAACAGGAGCTAACAAAAGAGTTTTCATATTGGTTGGTAAGGCTGTATTAAAAAAAAATTGTCGCCCTGGCCAGTTTGGCTCAGCGGTTAGAGCGTCGGCCTGCGGTCCTGAGAGACCCGGGTTCGGTTCCCGCTAAGGGCACGTACCTCGGTTGCAGTTTGTTCCTGGCCCTGGTCGGTTGTGCGGGTGGCAACCACTCGATGTGTCCCTTCACATCGATGTTTCTCTCTCTCTGTTCCTCTCTCTCTCCCACTCTACCTGAACAGAAAATGGAAAAATGTCCTCGGGTGAGGATAAAAACAAACAAACAAACAAACAAACAAACAAACAAACAAACATTGTCAATGAACATTGAAGAAGTTCTAAAATATTTCCATTAAGCTGAAGTTGAAGATGCCTTCCTAATCCTGTGGACTTTGCACCTTCCTTTTGATTCCCAGTGTGCTAATACACCTGGTCTCAGACCTCTTTCTTTCTCAGTATTTCTCCATTCAAAATCAGACTCCTTTTTTGTGTTTGTTTTTTCTCCCTGTGTTCTGTCAACCACAGGACAAATTCTGGCCTCTTTCCCACATGGTCTCTGTCTGTTCTTTAGCTGATATCTTACTTAAAGTATTCTACTGAAGTTAACTTGTCAGAGTTCTCTGATTTCTCAATATGCCAGAGGTGTGGGTTGGAAAGGTATCTACCTGGGTGACACATTCCTTTGGAGGATATGCAGATAAATTTAGATTTAGGTGACTGCCATTGTTACATCAGAATCATGAGGCTTACAAATTGATATTGTTGGGAGGACCTTTACTTCTTTTGAACCATAACATAAAGAGTAGGTTAATAAAGAAAAGGAGAAAAGATAAAGCCAAATGCAACCAATTCAATATTTATTCTCTTTTTAACAGATATTTTCCGAGAATAGTGCCTACCAAAAAGTAAAAGGGTCAATAAATATTTATTGAATATTGAACCAATGTTAAAGGACAAAGGATTCATCTGATTTATATTCTCATAAACATTTTTTTATATTAAGTGACATTTCTTAGCTAAATATATAAAATAATGTGATATTTAAGAGAAATTTAAATAACCACACTGGAACTATAAAATTCCCAGGGTTTCTTTCCTCTATCCTTCCCCCCAAAAAAGACTAGAAAGAGAGACCCTACAAGGAAACATAAACCATAACTTTCATGTGTTTCTTTGGAATTATCCTCATAAAAAAGAACAGATTTTTCCCATAAAATTATTTTACAGATTCCCCCAAAAAATGTTCTTTTTATTTTAGTAAGTATAAAGTTTTAGTGATAATCAACATAGATAAATCTTACAGTATTCAGTATGAATCAAATTTAGTCACATTATCAATAAACTTGTTGCCGTCTATATTTCAGTTGATACCTCTAATAGGTCCATAGGACTTTACGTTCTCTCTGTGTTTCCCTTTACTATAATGGGTAAAAGGAATATATTATTTCAGCTATTACTGATTTTTACACTATGCACTAAATATGTTATTAATTACTATCAAAGTAAAATTTTAATTTCTTTCTGAACTTTTTTTTAAAGATATATACTTTTTTGTTTGTTTATTGATTTTAGAGAGAGAAATAGAAAGATCAATGAGAACATCGAATGGCTGCCCCCCACTAGCGATTGGGCCCTCAACCTGGGCATGTGCCCTGACCGGGAATTGAACCAGCGACTTCTTGGTGTGTGGGTCAACACTCCACCACTGAGACACACCGGCCGGGTCTTTTGACCATCTTTAAAAACTATGTCAGGTGTTTTATCAATAAAGAGGTAGAAATGGACATACCCAATGTTAAATTTGAGGAAAATAACAACTACCACCTAAAGTGAAAGTCTCGGTTACTTTTGTTTTCTTCTGCATTCGGGGCAGGCCTGGTGGAGGCAGGCCCAGCACGAACCACGGAACAGCTTTTCTTTGGTACCTACATCTGAGAGTCCCCAACTCAGACCAAAATGTCAAGATATTCCAAGAAATCCCTAAATGTCACAAACATACTTAAAATTTAGGATACATTTAAATGTTTCTTCCTCTTTCCTTAGGATAATTACAGTAATAGTACATTTTGATTGTATTAAATATAACTTTTAAGAAAGTCCAACCAACTTCTGGATATTGTCTTCAGACTGACAAACTTCATATCACAGAACAAGAGGAATTTGTAATGTTTATCAATTCTGAGAAAAATCTCTTTGAAAATTGGTCTTTGAAGCGTAATGTTAAAACTAAGCAAGAGAGAACTACCTGTACACTAAACCTGACCAAACTACATGAAGACAGTTGTGTCTGTGCATCATTACTACAGTCTTCCCTCTGCAAAGACTGGTAAAAGAGCCCTCCTTCCCTAAAGTAACAACTAATTATAGACAAACAATAGGAACTTGCTTTGAAAATATAAGTGCATTTCAGTTAGTTTTAATCCTATGAAAAGAAGACTGAATTTTGCAAGAGCTAAAACTAGTGTGGTTCTATCTAAAGTAATGTAATGCTGTTTTTAGTAGAGAATATAGGTAAGGAGAAAATCTATCCACTTTGGTTTGTTTCTAGACCACATTTTGATCTGGTTTATTTGCCTCATTGCTTATTTTAAAATAACTGATTCTTATGCCTGGGCAAAGAGTTAAGTCATCAGTCACATTTGGCAAGTAAGGAACAGAAGAGGCTGATGGTGCCTGCTGCTGGGTTAGAAAGGAGCACTATTCGATGGTAGAGAATGTAAGTTAGAGTGGAGAAGGGAAGCAAGAGGGATAGACCTGGGTATCCAAAGAGAAGATGGGGAAAAAGGAGGCAAAGATATGACAAACTCTATAAATGTAACAGAGGGTGGGAATAGAAGATTAGAGACAGGTTCAGAACGCTTTTCTCTTTGGGCTATAATTTGACCATTTCCTCAAGTGAACAGTCATATACTTTGTATAAAATTGGCCCAAACACATTTCTCTGTGATGATCATAATTTTAAACAGTCAAGAATTGGTGAGGCACTCAATTTCTTCCAAAAGACTATAAACCCAAATAACTAATGTAACAGTAAAATATAGCTGTTACTGATGAAAAAATATCCTTCCCATGAGTCAGTTTTATTTATTTGTTTATAGTATAATCTCATAAACAGAAAGAGTCTGACTTGATATGTCTTTTTATGTGAGTTGCTAAGCAATTGTGGAAATGTACGCACAATGTTTTCATGAGAATTAGGGGTAAAAGTATGTTCAAGTCACATGGATATAGGCCATAGATGTAGCAGCAGATAGATTGTATTCTTGGATTACTTAGGTCTGAGTGTTCATGAAAGAAGTCTGAGTGTTCAAGCAGACACAACTTTTCTGGCAGGAAACTTTGAATGTGCATTTGGGCAATGAGTACATAGTGATACTAGCCAATGGCACTGTTACAGACTTAATGATAGTGCCTCAAATGTATTGTTGAAGCACTAACTCCCACTGTGACAGTATTTGGAAATAGGGCCTTAATGAGTTCATTAAGGTTAAATGGTATCATAAGGGAGGAACCCCAATCTAAAATATGGCTGGTGTGCTTACAAGAAGAGGAAAAGACACCAGAGACATTTCTCTGCACTTGCACAGAGAGGCCTTATGAAGACCTAATGAGAAGGCAGTTCTTTACATGGCAGGAAGAGATGTCTTATCAGAAATCGACCCTTATGGAATCTTGATCTTGAGATTCTAGCCTCCAGAACCACGAAAAAAGAAATTTCTGTTGTTTAAGCCACACTATCTGGGATATTTTGTTATGGCAACCCAAGCAGACTAATATAAAAATAGAATTTCAAGAGAGATACCTAGAGTCAGAAATGCCATTTGGGTTCATGAAAGGATTATAGAATTATAGCCCATTGAAGGATGAAATGCCACACTTTGGGCTTATTAGTGCCATATTATAATTAATAAAAAACCATAATTATTTGGCATTCTTCAAGATTCTTTGTGCACACACATTGTTTTATTTAGTCCCATTAATTATTTTATGGGGTATATATTCTTAACCTTATCAAAGAACAAAGCTCAGAAAGAAAGGTAAAGCAACTTTAAAATGTTTTACTGGCATTAGTCAAAGAGCATGATTTTATTTTATTTTCCTTTATTTATTTTGTTAATCCTCACTGGAGGATATTTTCTATTGATTTTTTTTTTTTTTTTTTTTTTAGATAGAGTGGAATGGAGGGAGGGAGGGAGAGAGAGAGAAACACTGATGTGAGAGACACATCAATTGGTTGCCTCCCGCATGACTTGGAGGACCAAACCAGCACATGTTCTTGACCAGAAATCGAACCTGCCCACCCTTTAGTCTATGAGTGTATGCTCTAACTGCTGAGCCAAATTGGCCAGAGCAAGAGTGGGATTTTAAATCAAATTCTTTATGACTCTATAACCTGAATGCTCTGTGATCCTTAAACCTTTGCTACTCTGTTAACAAGACACAATTTCCAGCCACTTTAGTGTTAATGATCCCCAAATCTAATTGAAGACCAAGTGCATATGTAGAGTTTTTTAAAATTACAATTTCTAGGTCCTACAAATGCAGATTTTCAATTCGGTAGCTTTGGGATGCATTTCTAAAAGCAATTAGGATATTTGCTCCAATTCTTTCACAACCCCCTTATTTACAAAGTAATGCCAATAACCCATGTTCTTTTTCACTACTGCTCTTCAGAGCTGTGATGTCTAATAGGGTAGAACAGCTACTGACAACATGTGGTCATTGAGCACTTAACTGTGGCTAGTCTGAATTGAGATGAAATAATTGTAAAATACACATTGAATCTTAAAGGTTTGATATTAAAAATAATGTAAAATATCTATTTAACAAATATTTGTTGTTACCTTTGAAAATTATATTTAGATGTATTGTGTTAAATAATATATAATACTGAAATTTTATCTGTTTATTTTTATTTTTTCCTATTAATATCACTGCTTTATATTATTCATTAAATATCAGTATGAAACTCAATGGTTCTTTAGAAGAAACTTTTATAAAAGAGGCAAGTACTTTGTGAAAAAAATGAGGAAATGCCATTAGTTATATTTTGCAATGCCCATTTATAAAAAGTAATCATTCCAATAGGTAGGTCATATATATTAAATGGTGAGAACTAGATGAAATGTTCTCTTGTGGTGCCACGCTGCATACCTTGGTATTTGATTTCTTCTTTCATGCTTGGAATTGATGTTTCTGATGTAAATAGCTTTAGAAAAGACTTGAAAGAAACCATCAGCCCTAAAGTTCTAAGCAAAGTTATTAAAGTCAAAATTTTTGAGATAACGTTACATTTTTCAAACAGTCTTTATACTATTTACACAGATTTTCGAAGCAAAGCTGATGCAATATTCTTCTGTTTCTGCTATTGTGTGATAATTACATTATTTCTGACAGAGGCAAGCATTCATCTGAAACACATTCAGCTGAAGCACAGAATTTCACATAAATCTCTTAGGTCACAGATTTAATATAACACTGTACACAGACTGTAAAAAGTTCTATTTTAATATTTTTCTTAATACTATGATTTAGAAAGTAATAAACTTTAATATTAGTAGGACTCACGCCTGTCTCCAAGACCCCTCATTTTTAGCTGTAGAACTTAGATTGTATCTGTACCTTAGGGTTTTGTTTTTAAATGAAACATGAAGATTACCTTGCATGGCTGTTATGAATTAAATGAGATGGGGTGTACATTTTGTGAAAGCATTTTAAAAAGAACACATTCTGGTAATATTTTTCTCCTTCTCCTGTTTGTTTCTCCTTTTCTTTCTCATTTGCTTGTTCTGCAAACATTTTATCAGTATTTGGTTCAAAAAACATGCCTTACTTTTAAAAAACATTTTGGGTGTATTTACACAGAGAAAACAAAATCTCTCCAAAACCTTGATTTGAATTAGGAATTCAATCAAAACTACAACTACCATCAGTGAATCAACAAGCAACAAGTGCTGGTGAGGATGTGGAGAAATGGGAACCCTCATGTCAGCGAGAATGTAGACTGGTGCAGCCACTGTAGAAAACAGTATGGGGTTTCCTCAAAAAATTAAAAATGGAACTGGCTTTTGACCCAGCAATCCCACTTCTGGGAGGATATTGGGCAGAAACCCAAAACACCAACCAGAAAGAATATATGCACCCCTATATTCAATGCAGCATTATTTATAATAGCCAAAATCTGGAAACAGCCCGAGTTCTCATCAACAGATGAGTGGAACAAAAAGTTGTGGTACATATACACAATGGAATACTACATGGCTATAAAACAGAAGGATCTCCTACCCTTTGGGATGGCATGGATCAACCTGGAGATTATTATGCTCAGCAAAATAAGTTAGTCAGAGAAAGACAAATACCATATGCTCTCACTTATATGTGGAATCTAATGAACAAAATAGACTGACAGCTGTCACAGAGGAGGGACTTGGGGGAGACTGGATAAAAGAAGGTGAAAAAATTAGCCAAAGTACATATATGAATAACCCATAGACACAGACAACAGTGTGGTGATGGCCAGGGGAGGGAGGTGGGGGTTAGATGAAGGTAGGCAAAGGTTGGGGGGCGGGTGCATAGGAACATCTATAATAGTGTCAACAATAAAAATATTTAAAAATTAAAATAACATACACACACACACAAAACAACTACTTATTTAACTTACGAATCCACAGGCTATGCTTAGGCTGGTGTACCAGTCCCCAAGTACTGCTATTACAAATGACCACAAATTTAGTCAATGAAAACAACACAAATTTATTATTTTACCATTTTGGTGGTCAGAAATCTGAAATGGCTCTTATAGGGTAAAAATGAAGGTGTTAGCAGAACTATCTTCCTCCTGAAAACTTTAGGGGAGGAACTGTTTCCTTCCCATCTCCAGTTTCTAGAGGTCATCTGCATGCTTGGGTTCATGGCCCGTTCTGTCTTCAAAGCAGCAGTGTAGCATCATTAAGTCTCTTTCTCTCTGATCGCCCCTGACCCTCCTGCCTATGTCTTCTAAGAACACTTACATTACATTAGACCTGCCCAGATAATATAAAATAATGATCTCTTCATTTTAAGATTCTTAATCACATCTGCAGTGTTCTCATTGTTATTTACCTAAATGCAGTTTCCAGGAATTACAACATGCATATCTTTGGGGGTTCACTGTTCTACTACCACAGTTGGGCACAGACAGCTAAACTCCAACTTGGTCTACAGTGAATCAAGAATCAGGTATACAACTCTGCTTCTTTGCCTTGTCCAGAGCTCTCTTCCAAATGGCTCCTTCTTTTTATTTTTTTATCCTCACTTGAGGATATTTTTCCATTTTTTGTACAGATAGAGTGGGAGGGAGAGAGAGGAAGGAGAGAGAGAGAGAAACATCGACGTGAAAGGACACATCGAGTGGCTGCCACCCGCACGACCAACCAGGGCCGGGGACAAACTGCAACCGAGGTACGTGCCCTTAGCGGGAACCGAACCCTGGTCTCTCCGGACCGCAGGCCGACGCTCTAACCGCTGAGCCAAACTGGCCAGGGCTGGCTCCTTCTTTTTGAAATAATTCTCACCCAAGGATATATTTTTATTGATTTTTAGAGAGAGGACAGGAGAGAGAGAGAAACATCAATGTGAGAGTAACATCGATCGGTTGCCCCCAGTTTGCACCCCAATTGGGTATCAAACCTGCTACCTAGATATGTGGCCCGACTAGTAATTGAACCTGCAACTTTTGGTGTACAGGACAATGCTCCCACCAACTGAGCCACACAGCCAGGGCCAAATGTCTCATTCTTCATGAATCTATCACAAATGTGTAATAGGCCAGCCGTGACACATTCATGTGACACTAAACAAGGTCAAATTGTCAAGGACTTGGATTCAAGGAAGCCATTAATGGGGCCTATAAATGCAACCAGTCTACCCCAGTGAGTCACCAGTATTTAAGTTTAATGACAAGAAAATATAATGATTTGTACAAAATAAATCCATGGTCTTGAATTAGTATTCCATTCATATTGTTGTGCTTACATAGCATAAGTGCATTTTAAAACAAATTAAACATACTTAGGTTTAGATGGGTACCTCTGATATCTTCCAAGTTATTAAGAGGAGCTACAGGCAGTAGCCATTGAAGAGTTGACATTGTAACTTGATGATAGCTGGTCTTCTTGGTCTGAAATCACCCCTTTTTAGACTATAATCTAATGATTCATATACCTTGAAGTTCTTTATTAGTTGTTATTTGGACCTTTGAGATTTACTTGAAAAAGTAAATCTAGTCTGAGATTTACTGGTAGGTAGCCATAGTAATCCAGACTAGACCACTGTATAACTTGCCTTATAATTAAAAATGTTAAGTGCTCAATACCAACTACCAATTATCAAATATAGCAGCATTTTTTCAACTGGTGTGCTGCAAGAATTTTTAAGATATTCAATACCTTACTATTTATTCAGGGGTACCAACCTCTTTTTCCTTAGATTATTAAATAAAAAAAGTGACAACAGCCAACACAACAGTAGCTATCTGGTGTGAATGTTATATACAATATATAGGTCATATAATAGAGTTGCACCTTATTGGGCATGTTGAATAAGGTTGCATCTGATTGGTTAATTCTTGGTCCCATAAATCCTTACATACAAGTATAGGCACCTCATTAAAAAAAAAAAAGTCACTTTGTATGCATATTTTTAGTATGAATATGAAGAGCAGATTTGATATAAAATCAATGGCAGGGAACATTATTCCTGCTATCGCTACTACTAATGCAGTGATTGCTGGGTTAATAGTATTGGAAGGATTGAAGATTCTATCAGAAAAAATAGACGAATGTAGAACAATTTTTTTTGAATAAACAACTAAACCCAAGGAAGAAGTTCCTTGTGCCTTGTGCACTGGATCCTCCCAACCCTGATTGTTACATATGTGCCAGCAAGCTAGAGGTGACTGTGCAAGTGAATGTCCATAAAGTGACCATTCTCACGTTACAAGATAAGATTGTGAAAGAAAAAATTGCTATGGTAGCACCAGATGTCCAAATCGAAGAGGGGAAAGAAACAATCCTAATATCTTCAGAAGAGGGAGAGGCAGACGCTAATAATCACAAGAAATTGTCAGAATTTGGAATTAGAAATGGGATCCGGCTTCAAGCAGATGACTTCCTTCGGGACTACACTTTATTGATCAACATCCTTCATAGTGAAGACCTAGGAAAGGATGTTGAATTTGAAGTTGTTGGTGATGCCCCAGAAAAAGTGGGGCCCAAACAAGCTGAAGATGCTGCCAAAAGCACAACCAATGGCAGTGACGATGGAGCTCAGCCTTCCACGTCCACAGCACAAGAGCAAGATGATGTGCTCATAGTTGATTCAGATGAAGAAGGTCCTTCAAGTAATGCTGCCATCAGTGAAGAAGAGAGAAGTCGAAAGAGGAAATTAGATGAGAAAGAGAATATCAGTACAAAGAGGTCACGCACAGAACGTTCAGAAGAGCTGGATGATGTGACAGCAGTGGATTGAACAGCAGTGCCTCTGACAGAACCCTCACTGAATTAGGTCATCCCGGGCAGAACCAGGGTGTTTGTTAAGTCCTTTGTTCCAAAGGGGACAGGTTGACCCTGGTGACTTGAAGATGATCCTGTTCCCTTTGAAAGCACTCATTTTGCTAGAACTATTAGACACATTGCGATATGCTGTATGGAAAGTAGGCATATATAGTTTTAAAACCCTTTGAACAAAGCGTTTGCATAACCAGTCATGAGATGAAACAACACGATGCATGTTGCCTTTTTAAATGTAAATATCCTTAGGTATCATTTAATAGTTTAAAATATTGTGGTTTAGTAAAGTTGATACCTGGTTATAAATATTTTGCCTTTATTTTTGGTTAGAAAAATAATTATTTTTAGCCTAGATCTAACCATTTTCATACTCTTAAACAGATTTAAAAAGTATCAAGTGCTATGCATTGAAACTTTATAAATATTAACTGGCACTATGTATACTGATGTAAAACAATGTTAATTTACTAAGTATTCAGCTTGTACTGCCTGGTATGTCTGTGTAAGAAACCAAATTTTGTGTATTGGTACAGTTTCAGGTTATTTATATTTGATCTTTTGTAAAACTCAAATACAACTATACTGTACTTATGGACCAAATAAATGTCCTCTGCATACTTGTACATGCCTGCACAGTTCACATGTTTGCTGCCTTGTTCAGTTTATCCCTTGTATTTACTGCAGGCATGCTAAATTCTTTCCTTTTAAAAAGTTAACTTGTAATGGATGTGAAGGTTAAAAGATCTCCACTATTTGCCATACATGATTACTTTCTAAAATAAAGCTTTTAATGGCAATGTTGCTTTTTAAATAAAAAAATGTCACTTCGGAGCAAAAAGAGTAGGTAATTACTATTATTATTATTTTATAAACCAAAATAATACCTTTTTTAGGGGGAGTCAGGTCAGCAAACAATATTTTTGATGTGCTGCAAAATTTTAGTAATAAGTCTATGTGTGTGTGATGAGATGAAAAAAATTGAAGTGTGGAAATATGGTATATTCAATGTGATTATTTAGTGATCCATGTCTCCTGAGCAGCTTAGCATATCCAAGGAATGAAGAAAGAACTGTACATTGTGTGTGTGTGTGTGTGTGTGTGTGCATGTGTGTGTGTGTGTATATTATACATAACACACTCTTTTCATGGCATGGACTCTGAATGTTTGTTTTCAAAGGATGACTAAGGAACTCTGTACCATACACAGAGATTTTGACTTAACTCCATCTGCTAAAGTTTCAGGTTGAACTCTTGCCTTGTTCCAGGGGACAGGACCCCGAAAGCCTAAGGAGTAGATCAGTTACCACTTTACATTTGAATTAATAATTAGAAAACAGTATTTATTTTGTACTGAACATACGTTTATGAAGATGGGGAATTGCACACGATTTGTATGTCTAACACTGATTCTAAATAAATTATATCAAAAATTTAAAGATGATTACACTTGAGCAGCTAAAATAAGGAATATGATTTTTAAATAAGTCAAATATGATTTTAGTTTAATTTACCTTTGGAAAAAAGTTAATTGCATTGTGGTATATTTTTACTCTTAAAAGTCATTTAAAATATTTTAAATGTGTACTATTACAATGTATGTGATAGTAAATTCTTGTTTCATTATAAAGTAAAGCTTGCCCTCTAGTGGTTCCAGGCTAGATATAAGTTCAGGGGAAACAACTTAATGGAAGATATTAATAAAAAAAAGATTTATCTTTTTATTTCCTTTAGAAGTAGATGATAAAATATAAATATTATATACAAAATGTGACCTCTGAAATATATACTAGAAAAGTATCACTATTATAAGTGCTACAAATCATATTTTTAAACCAAATGTATTTTAAATAAACATGGGATTTTTACTATAAGTTAAAAAAAATTTTGGGTTTCATTTTTCATTTTACTTTTGAACAGTTCTACTAATAATGTATCAGCAGTGAACAGGAAGTCATCCCTAGTGGCATATGTAATCTATGGCTGGATCAAGTGTGCAAAGAAACCTTTGTTAATAAAATAGAGTCTAGCCCTGGTCGGTTCGGCTCAGTTGTTAGAGCGTCGGCCTTGCAGTGCAGAGAGACTCGGGTTCCATTCCTGCTAAGGGCACGTACTATGGATAAAATATTTGTTTAAAAAAAATACATGAACTGGTCTGGCTGGTGTGGCTCAGTGGTTGAGTGTTGACCCATGCACCAAGAGACTGCCAGTTCGACTCCTGGTCAGGATACATGCCCAGCTTGTGGGCCCAATCCACAGTGGGGGGCATGCAGGAGTCAGCCAATCGATTTTCTCTCTCCTCGATGTTTCTGTCTCTCCCCCTCTCCCTTCCTCTCTGTCTAAAATCAATAAATTAAATAAATAAAGTAAAATAATTAATTTTACATATTGTACATGTCACTAAGTGTTATTCACTATAGAGGAGAGTCTAGTTTACACTGGATAATTCCTAAGCAATTTGAACAGACATGTGGGGAAAGGAGGTCCCTTGTACCTATTAATTCCACTGTAGGGACTTTAAAAAATCAAATGGTAGGTTGAGGCTATAAAATACATTACTTTTATTAATTCATTATCCAAATTTGGTTCTGTTACACACTAGTGGCTTAATTTCAAATAAATATAATTGCTTTTAAAGGAGTTTTTTTAAATTTTCATGTTCCTTTCCTTTGTTGAAGTGCATATAAAATAATCATTTAGGAAGTAACAATCATTTTTCTAGTCCTTTGTTTAGAATAATAGTATTGGTTAATGAGCCTATATTTTCTCCAATCACAGGACCAATCTAATAAAAAATAATAGAGCCATGGACCACAAAGGGGTTTCTAAAAATTTTTAGAAGCAAAGTTAAACAAGCTGTCTTTAATCTGCATGAACTATTGCAAGTAATTTTTAAAAATGTTTTCTTCTTATAAATTTACTTAGGTAAATTTAGAGACAAATATTGTATGTATTTAAAGAGTAAAATTAGATACATTTTGATGGATGCAACCATCACCACATTTCAAGTATAGGATGTGTCCAATAAATTAATCAATCAATCAAAACAATATGATTCTCTCCTGCCAGGGTTTTTATTGCAAGTAGTTCTTTTCCTGGATTAATTATGTAGAATCTTTATACTTGTCATGTGTGGTCACTAATGTCTATGCTGGATTTGTTTAATGGTACACTAATGATTGTCTAGACCAGTGGTTCTCCACCTTCCTAATGCCACAACCATTTAATATAGTTCCTCATGTTGTGGTGACCCCCAACCATAAAATTATTTTTGTTGCTACTTCATAACTGTAATTTTGCTACTGTTATGTCTTAGGTGACCCCTGCAAAAGGGTCATTCGACCCCCAAAGGGGTTGCAACCCACAGGTTGAGAACCGCTGGACTCCAGACCAAATGAACTTTACTTTCTTTTTTCCTGAGAAGTTCTGTGTGTATTATGGCTTAATTTCAATGTTATAACAGGCAATATACCACTCTGCATTAGCCTTCATTTTCTGCTTGCACAGAGTCTCAGGTTAGTCAGAGATGAGAAATTAGGGTCCTCCCAATTCTTCCCTGAGTATGTGCAAAGCCCTGAGCATGCATCTTTAGACTTCTTCTTAGTTTTCTGGAATATGTCTTAGCTTTACACAGCTCCTTAAAAATATCCCAGTCTCCAGTTTTTCCTCTTAAGTTTTTAAAAAATGTTTTTATTGATGTTTTAGAGAGAAAGAAAGGGAGAGAGAGATAGAAACATCGATGTGAGCAAGAAACAGATGTCAGCTGCCTCCTGCTCGCCCCCTACTGGGGATCAAACTGCAACCTGCAACCTGGGTGTGTGCCCTGGGACTAGGCTCAATCCACTGAGCGGTAATGGCCAGACTTCCTTTTAAGTTTTTGGTTGGCCTCTTGTTAACTCCAACAAGTAATGCCTCCTGTGACAGATGTAAAATTAAACAATTGCTACTGATTGGTTTTGACAAATGACCTCAAGATAAGTCTCACTTAAAGAGATTTTTAACTAAGCAAAATAAAGACAAACCCTGAGAATGGTGCTTTCAAGAAGCTGCCAGACAGATAAAACAGTGACAAATCTCTAGGGATGGCACTTATGGGGACCTCCTAAGTCATCTACTCAAACTGCTGGTTTTAACAGCTACTGCATTTGCACATGATTTTTAAGTTTATAATGGAATTGAGGACAGGGGAATGAGATAAGGGCAAATTAAAATTTCATAAATGACATTGTTCTTACAGAGATTCAGCTGTTTTTCACTCATATTCATATTGCTGCAATCCTTTAGTTAATGTATTAGTTAATGTCCTGAGTTCATAAAAAAGTTGATTTTGATGTTTTGCCAGTGTTACATTTACTTTAATGGAGATGTGCATTTTCAGAGTTACTTACTATGCTATTCTGGATTAAAAGTAACATTGGTCCTTACTTACTTGTCAATACACTAAACCTGTGAATTAATGTAACAATTTAAGTTTGTAGTATTATCTTTTCCAATTCAATTATGCAAAGATGCTTCATTTTTTTATGTCTGTATATTAAATATCTAGGTTAAGTTTGGTTGTATTATATTTTTCTGTCTGTTATATAACTGCTGGTGCTGGTCTGAAGAAAGGCTGTTGATTTATGCATTTTTTTTAACATGGCCACTACACTGAACCCTCCTAATAATTCTAATAGTTTTCTGTTTATTCTCTTGGGTGTCTACTGGAATTCCTAATTTCCATATGCAATCTTATACTTAGTGTTTGCTCTGTATACCTATTTTCTGACAAATTAAACCTGAGCTTACAATAGATTTCTTTAAGAATATTATAATTATAAATTCTGAAACACTTTCCAATGATCTCAAGAGCATGCCCTTCCACATATGTGTTAGGTATGAATCTAAATTTTGTGGTGAGAGCAGAAAACACCTGGCTAGTAAAAGAGATTGTTCTAGCATTGCCTGGTGTACTATGCCGAA